AAAGAAGGTAGGAATTTTGCTTGGTCTTTTGAGATTTCATGGAAATTACTAAATTACTAATTATCCTGATGCTTTAGTCAGCCAGTGTGAAATGCCAGCCAGCCTCTRTTTTCTTACTGATATAGCACCAGCCACTGCAATGTGTAGAAAAATCCCTCCCGCCCTTGTATGCTCCAGGCTGCCCCTCCACAGGGGACRGTGTCCTTGTCCCCGTGTGTCACTGATGCAACAGGTCCCACACCGATTCTGCTGCTGGAGGGGTCCTGCAAGGACAGTACCAGACTTGAATAATGGGAGAAGAGGAAACAACAAATTTCCCTGCACTTGGCACATAAAGACTGTTGTTGAACCATTAATGGRCACGAGGTATAGCAAGGAAGAGCTACTAAATAACCCAGTGTGCTTTTGCAGCCACACTGATATCTCTCTAGATAATATTTTACTTTTGGTTTTAGGTTTTTGCTGTCCTTGCATGATGTTAAACTGGAATACTCTGTTCTCCCCAGGACAGAAAGACTTCAGGGAAGGATGCATAAGAAGTTCCAGGAAGCAAGTTAATAAAAATCCTTTCATTTTCGGTTCTCAGAAACTCTGTGCCTTCACACCAACCTCTGCTAGGTGTCACTGGCACAGCAGCCCCAAAGCACACACATCAGTGAGAGGTTCTTGGGAAATGTGCAGGAAACAGCACCGTGTACTGAAGTCCTCAGCTCGCCGGTAAAGCTGACCCAGGGGGCAGCAGCCGTGAAATTTTCTTTTCCCTTTGCTGCCAAAGTGCCTTGGCTCTGACCCGGGGAAACCTCTACAAGAGGGGTACAATTCAGGTCACGGCTTGGCAAGSCCTTCACTGCATCAGGACTTCGGTTTCCAGGGCCACTCTGGGCTGAGCTTTACCCCCCACACGTGGATGAGGCACCCTTTGGTAACAGGACTGTTGTGCAAAAACAGGCAATGTGACATTTCCTTGAGCKCTTGGTGCCCCCTGACCAGCAAGGAGCTGGCATTGGAAAGGGAGCTGGGAGACTGAGCAGGAAGTGAAGAAGAGCTGCTCCAGGGGCTGGGAAAACTATGCTGCTGTCTGAAATCGAAGCAAATACTCTGTATGTGGTTGAATTAATTTCTGGGGTTCACCATGTGTTTATAGAATGAGCAGGTAATAATCCATGGGGATCTGTGTGGAAGTTTAGGGTCAGCYTTGTGGGTTAGGAAAGCCAAGAAAATTGGTTTGGGAAAGGCACAAGGAATTTTCATTAATGGAAAGGACACTCAGAAGGAGAAAGAGTGGGCTGGGACAGAGGGAGGAGGAATCCCGTAAATAATCACCAGTGCAGCAGCTCCGTGGTGCAGGCCAGCAGYGTCCTCTGGCAAACGAGTGTGCAAAGCTGGCTCGTGGGGCTGGCGAGCAGAGCAGGGGATGGCCCCTTCACAGCTTTACCCTGCGAGTCACCACCCTCGTGACTTTGCAAGCAAAAGGGCACCGCGAGCGGCAGCTTTGGCGCGGCATTTCAGGGCTTCGTGGGATTACTAATTCACTGTGTTCCTGGAAGGGCTCCAGGCTTCCCAGCTCTGCCACCAGTGTACAAATTCATCCAGTACCCGCAAGGCTCGCAATCCCCAGAGGCGAGAGCAGCCTGTAGGAAGGTGATTCATGTTACAAATCGGTGCCTGCGAAGGTCCGGCGGGGCTCTGGGAAGACCGAACCGGTGTCCTCGTCCTTTCCACCTCCCTAACGCGCGGTCAGAGTGATTAAGGCAGCAGCCGCACTCTGGATGGATTTCGTTGCTGGGGCAATTGGAGGTAAATACATGAATTAGTGCTTGTTAACAAAAGCAGATAGCTGTGTTTCCTTCTTGCTCATCTAAAGAGCAGAGAGTCTTTGGATTGGGGCTGCTTGGTAAAAGTGTGTTTTTCCTTTATTAAATAGGAAGAAATTAAAATGTCATCAGAGCAGGTTCACTGAGCTGCTGGAGAGGCAGTGCTGCAGCTTGGTCAGCTGAGGTCATCGCCTGCCATCTCCTCGGGTCTGATTGCAGMGGGACAGGGTAAAACTCTAATAGGAACAGACAGACTAATTGGTTTTGTGTGGACACAAACTGGCTTGTATTGACCAGGCAGTGAGACCCTCACTTGTCTGGCATCTGGGGGTCCCAGCAGGCTGCTGGGATGGTGGYTCTGGGGGGCTGAGGATGTGATTTGTGACACAGGAGGGGAGGAAGCACAATGTTCTTGTTGCATTCAGGATGTCTGACTGAACGACCTTTGCATTATCTTAGGTTAAGACGTATTTGCAGCTGCGGTGGTGATGTCAGGGCAGGCGAGCCACGCAGCAGGCTGGGATCTGGGAGAAAGTAGGTTAGCTGTATATAAAAAAAGTAACAGGAGAGAAGTGTGATTAAACTCTAGACATTTTTAGAGCATGTACTGCTCAAASCCATCTTTGTTTTAAACAGCAAAACGTCTCATTCCTTTGCTGAAATTTTGTCAGGTTTAGTGGAGTATTAAAGGTAATATACACCAAGAAATGCCACAAGAAAAGCATTTGTGTCACCACTGACAGAAAGATCAGGTAAACYTGCCAGGTGGCTGAGACCAAGGCTGCATGTCAGATCTCACTTTGAGATTTGCTGAAATTTGGCATTTTGAAATTTTTGTCATTTTYCCTCACCAGGAGCAGCCTGTGGTCCTTCTGCAGGTGTGTTTGTCCTGGAAAGGACCATGCTGAGTTTTACCCTGTGCCYTTTAACTGGTCATCTCCCAATATGTGCAGGTGGGATGAGGTTTGGCATCTCAGCAGCATCCAGCCCTGGAGATGCCTTTTGTGCCCATTGCTTGGGGTGTTGGTGTTCCCGGGGTGTTGGGAGACTCTGCTCAGAAAAAAACCTTCCATGGGAGAGGAGGATACAACCAGACCTCCACGACTGCTTGCCTTTCTCCTCCTGTTTCCCCCCTGACTTCAGAGCACCCTGTGGAGAAGGAAGCCCCGTGCTGGGGCTGGCAATGGGTTGTCCAACCCAGAGGGATTGACCAAACCTCCTCTGAGCCTTCATGCTCATGGTGGGGCAGAGATGATTGCRTTTGTTGCTTGGACTCCTTTGCTTTTCTAGCACAGTTTGAGATAGGTCACTTAAGGATAAGGTTCTTTTGCAAGGGAACATGGAGAGCTGAAAGCAGAGTTTGAACATGGCCATTCACCTTGGCTTTGAGCCCTGGCTCCCATGTAAAGCCAGGGTTTGTGCTGTGAGCCCCTGTCCAGGTGCCAGCACCGTGTTCTGCTGGCCATGCAGCCAGAATCTCCCATGGGTGCCCTGGACACAGGCTCAGCCTGAGGGGATGCAGGCTGGGGAGATCCAGCTGGAGCCAGAAAAATCTTTGCTTGTTGGAAGGACTTCACTGACCTCAGAGAGTCAGAGAGCAAGATTTTCCATCCTGTCCCCTATGTCCAGCTCAGAGCTTTTCCAGGAGGGRTCATGCAACTTCTCACTGGCTGGCAGAGGTGGGAGCTTGCCCACAGACACAGGGGAGGTACCTGGGCAGGGCTTCAGGGCCACCATCCTTCCCCTCAGATGGGACAGCTCCTGTGGTTGGACAACTTTCCTGCAACAACTGGGGTGATTCTGGTCCTGAGCTGAAGAGCATCAAGCAAGTCATGAGGCAACATAAAAAATAATGGAGTTTCTGTTAAGTAAATTATATTCTTGTGATCTGGATYTATTTCAGAGTGTCTTGGAGAAAATGTGGCTGAAGCATCTCTGAAAAACAGCAGAGGCCATGCCCATTCGAATTCCATGTAATGATCCAGCCTCTGGCTGCCTCTGCAGCTGCACAAATATTGTGCATCACCTCTGGGCAATGGATTCTGAGGCCATGAGATAAACCCAGCATCTTCAGTACAAGAAACAGTGACCTACTGTGGTTCCAGATGGAAAAACCATGAGAGGAACATGCTTAGTGGCTGTGGAGACTTTCTATAACCAGCAAATTGTGGCTGGATGTTGCAGGAATCAATCCTTCCTGGCCAGTAAAACTGAGCAGGAGATTGGGCTAGAGACCTCCTGAGGTCCCTTCCAACTTGAATTTTCCTATGATCCCATGCATGCTTTCTAGCTCCGCTACAGCAGCAGCTTGGGCCTTGACAGGGGATGGGGATTGATGATGGATAACTGAAGGATGATTTAATTCTTTTATCAGCAGTAAAGATTTGGGGAAGGAAAGTTCAGTGGTGGCAGAGCAGCAGGGTCTGCAGCACGACCGGGCTTTTCAACAGCTGGGAGGTTACACTCAGTCCAAGGGCACATAAAATAATCCCCCTATTAGAAGGAACAAGCTGTCTTCTCCTTATTGCTAAAGCAGCTCCTGCTGGGGTCATGTTACTGAATGAAGCTCAGCTCCTTTAGGGTGTGGGGCACTGATGTTCCCAAATCTGTGCGAAACAAAGGTCTTTGGAAGTTGCTSTCTGTCCCAGTGATGGGCAGTGATCGCTGCTTCTCCCCGGGTCTCTCAGCCAAGGGTTTGCCAGCAGCCCAGAGCTGCTGCAGCCTGGTGGGCTCTGTAGAGCTGCCACTTGCTCCCTGGTGATTGCCAGCCCACCAGCATCTCTCCTTACCTGAACTCAGAGTGACCTGACTTGTGTAGAGACTGTCAGTGATCCATTCTGTGCACTCCGTGTGTATAGGGGATGCTGCAASCTCTGTTCAACACTTGGGAATATCTCAGATAAAGGACTTTAAAATGGCTCACTAAAATAAAAAAAAAAGATAATTCACCTGGTTTTGCCATTTATTTTTGTGGCAGCTCATGCAGTTACTCAGCAGAAGTCCCACAGGAACCCTCTCCTGTATGCCTGCTGGTCATTGCTGGCCTTCTTTGATTCTGCTGTGCAAACAGGGCATGTGTGGGTCATGCTATCTTAGTCCCAGGCTATTTATATCGTGTGACAGTGTGCAGAGCCCTTTTTCTCGGCCTTTGATAGACTTGGCTGAGCTCCTCAGCTCTGACAACTGCTTGGAGTGCTTTGTGCCCCTAAGTAGCTCAATGGCAGACTGGGTTATTTGGAGATTTGGGGGATTCACGTCTTTGCTGGGAGCAGTGAAAAATTTACTTTTATGGTCTCCTCCCAAGTGGAGATGTTTGATCCTTAATGGAACCAAGCTGACTGGAAGTCTTTAGGGCTGAGTCTGTTTTGGGCAACCTGCCGTGCTGCTCTCTTTGCATATTGATTTGTGAGCAGGGTGATTTCTTGAGAAGGGAGGTCAATTCTTGTCAAACAGTGACCCAAATCAGCCTTGGGATGTGATTTGCATGAGCCAAAGCTCCTCCCTTCCTGAGCCAGTGGAGTGAGCTGTCCCTCAGCTGTGCATGGTGGCCCTGTGTCACCATGGTGACACTCGTGTCTGGTACACSATGGTGTCTGGTCAGCCCACAGCCATCGCCTCTAAGGTTCAGGATTTCTGAAAATGATGAGATCCAATCCTCCCAGCTGACATGGGGTGCTTGGGCTGGGGGCCTGCAGCTCTRAGGGCAGCACTGCCACGCTGGCACTGGCTCATGCTGCCCTTCCCTGGCTGGCAGTGCCCGTGTTTACTCTGGCCGATGGCCGGGAACCTGGGACGGTGCAGGTGTCCCCAGATGACTTMGTGCATTGTCACTTCTGCTTGGACCAAAGCCATGGCTTCTCCAAGCCATATTAATGGCTGTGTATTCCCCCTTGCCCACTCTGTTCTATCATTCTCTCTCTTCCATCTTGACCCATTTTTCACCTTCATTCCTGTTTATCTGGTGCCAGATTTGATAAATGTTTTTGAAGAACAAACATAAATTTTCTGTGAGAAAGATGCTGTTGGTTGTTTTCCCCTGAGTAATGCACTTTGGGATTGTCTCCTGGTGACTCACAACAGCAGCTGCTGCTGCTTTTCTCCAGAACATGGGAGAGCCTTCCAGAGCTCTCAAGCAAGCCATGTAATCACAGGTGAACATGCCCACAGCAAATAATACTTATTTAAATATCTTGGGTTTTATTTTTTCTTTTTTAAAGAAGGACTCAGTGAGAGGCAGTTTTCCACAGGTGAGCCACCAGATGTGCCCTGTATCTCTGGCTGCCTGGCTCCCTGAAGGGCTCACCCAGCAAGTGGATGGACTTGATCTCTGTTTAAATAACTCACAGGGACACAGCTCCATCATCYTCCAGCCTGATTTCCTCTCAGATGACTTTTCAGGTGAAGTACTTCCCAGGTGATGGAGGCAGTTTTCTAGTCAGCACCTTTATTACCTGCCAGCACTTAGAGCTGAGAAATGCAGTGAGATGAAAGCAGATGTGGGGGCAGATTTATTTGTTATTGCAACCAGAAGAAATCCTTGTTGGAGCTCCTTAGCCCTCCTTACTTGCCATCGAGGCAGTGGCTTTGTCTCTTAGGATTAATAGATATCCAACTCCAGCGGCTATTTTAAGGCTCCTGGAGCGAGTGTGGGTATTGGTGACAGTGGCCSCCGGATCTGGACATGCTGTCACCGCTCAGGGGGGTGGCGCGGTCAGCTGGCGGTGCTGGGCGGGCTCTGGAGCCGCTGCCTTTGCGCATCCCCAGCGTTAATCCCTCCCTGCCTGCCCCAAATCCTGAGTGATGGCGGGAGAGGGGTCTCACTGCTGAGCTCGGGCACCACAGCCGCCGGCAGGACCCCAAAACACCGGGGCTTTTGCCCCTTTGCCCTGATTTTGCAGCAGTGCTTGGTGTACGTAGGAAATGCTCAGTCCAGCATGGTGCTGYGGTCCCAAACGTCCCACGAATTCCTCACCCAGAGCTGTAGAAGTGCTTTGCAGGCTTCGGCCAGGACATGMCAGTCCCTGGAGGCAGCAGGACTCCTCTCCCGTCTTCAAGAGAGATTGCTGAGGTCCTTTAATGTGTGAGGATTATCTATATCTTTTAAAGATATCCTTGTGACTGCTGCTTTTATTCCTTAACATTTCCAATTCAAACACAGAAAACCAAAATTGCTCCAGACTCTCTTGTGTGAGTGGGAATGCTTTGCACCTCACTTTAGGGTTCTTGGTCATAGCCCAAAGATGCTTTAATGCCTAAGAGGAGAGGGGAAACAAATACAGCCCTGTATCCTTCCTTCAGCCTTCGTGGAGCAGTGCTCTCAGTGTTTCTCCCTSTCTCATCTTGTTCCACCTCGTTGTTCCTCCCTGATAAGTTTCCCATACTCTGCTTATCCTCTGAGTGAGCCTTGGTCACACAGAGAAATCTGCATTTTTCTCTCTCATTCTTGGCTCAGATGTCATTACTGGAGAAGTTTGGTGCCAAGCATGGCTGGGCTCTGGAGCTGTTTTCTGCTATTTCCCAGTGTCTTTCTGCGATGGGCGAAATGGTCTATTGTGAYTTGTGCTGTTAACCAACACATTCTCTGTTTCAGGTGGTCTAAGTGCAGCTGTGGGTCATCCACTGGACACAGTGAAGGTACATGTTGGAGTTTTATTTCTTGATTGTAGAACAAAACCAAAGAGGCCCTTTTGTTTTCCCCCTCCTTTTCAGRAAACTAGTCACATGACAATGCTCTATCTACATATTTCACTGTATTTGGTTGTGTTGTCTCCTGCAAAAAAGTTTGAATTGTTTGGTGAGGTATTTTTAAGGTTAATAATCTGGTTTGCTACTATGGCATTTGTTGATTTATTTGTTTTTTAATCTGGTATCTACATTTGAAATTTGTCCCTGTATTCCTAGGTGAGAATTCAGACTGACAACCATTACAGAGGATTTTGGCACTGTGCTCAGGAAACATACAGGACAGAAAAAGTAGGTACCTCTCATCAGAATTGCTGATACCAGTTGCAGATGCTTCGTTTCAGGGAAGCAGAGCTGCCTCTGTCATTTTTGGGGAGGATGGGCACCGGCTGCATACAAGCATTTGTTGGGAGAGGGGTCAGGGTGAAATTTAGCTTTGCTGTAAGATGGGACTAAGCTTTGACTCAGCAATGTGCAGCCAGTGCTTTTGAGCAGATGCTTTCCCATGCCACTCACCRTTAAAAGTCACCTTTCTCCTCTGTTTCCCACGAGGTCTGGGGATTTTACAAAGGTGGGTCTGCAGCAGTCCTCGCTTTATCAATGGTTTCGTCTGTTTCCTTTGGCACATACAAAAACATCCTCTGTACCATCTGCAAGCTGCGATACGGGGCTGCAGATGCCAAGCCGTCCAAGCTGGATGTTTCCCTTGCTGGAGTCGCTGCCGGCGCTGCCCGGGTAGGTGAACAGCCCACAGGGAAAGCACAACAAGAGATCTTGTTCACAAACACAGGCGGCTGGAAAAGCAGGGAAATGTTTTTTCGATCCGGGAGGCCACAGGGGAGTCTGCAACAAGTCTGGTGGGTTTGTTTTCGCAGGGGAGGTCATGCTCTGCCCACACTGCCCCCTCACTGGTCAGCTCCGTGGCGTGGCCGAGTCCTGCTGGGCAGCTCGTGCTGGATTTGGTTTTGGAGTGCCAGAACACTTAAGAACATGCCTTTAAAATGACACAGACCTTGGCAGCAAACGCAGAACAAGGAAGAAAAAACAACATAGGCAGCAAAGTCCCCAAGTGGCTRCAACGGTGTGTTTATGTAAAAAAGGCGTAACTCTGAGTTAAAGCACAGGTCAGTGCTTTCCCAGCGGCTGCACCAGCCTGGCATGGCATCGCCGCAGAAACGGGCAGAGCGTGGTGTTGCTTTGCCAGCACTTAAAACTCAATGGGGAACCACTGAGAAGCGATGCTGCCTGGCCAAAGTGCAGGATCCTGGGGCAGGGAGGTGAGGCTGAGCCCAGGAGCAGTTCCCCACAAGCAGATGAGGGTGAGGGCCCACAGGTGCTGTGTGGTGGAACTCACCGCCTCATGTCAATGGCATGCTGGGCACAAATGTGTGCCAGCTCACAATCCCCTCACAGAGCAGCCCGGAGGGTCAGGTTTCTAGGTGTTTCCCAGCAGCCAGTGACTCAACACAGGCTTTTAACCACCTTGATGGTCTTGGTTCAAATGCAGATTCAAATTAGAGCCCTGATGTGTGCTTCCTTATAGCTGAGGATGTTCCCTTTCCATGCCCATCCGGTTGATAAGCAGTTACAGGTATTTAATATCCTGTGCTGATTTCTGCCTTGCCTTCCTCTCTGCCCAGCACAGCTCACACACGTGTCGTGCCGCTGCTGGGTGGAACAGAGGGGAGGAGGCTGGAACTTGCTGGAACTTGCAGGCAATATTACTGCCTCAAAAGCTGGGAGACAAGAATTTACAGGAGGGAGATCAAAACACTGTGTAAGTGTGAAGGGTTAAAATGCCATTCTCTGGTGTTACAGGCTCTGTTTACAAACCCCAGCGAAGTGGCTAAAGTTCGGATGCAGACTCAGAAGAACCCTCACCCTTCCATCACACATCAGCCTGTTTCCAAGCCAAAGTACCGAGGCTCTCTGCACTGTCTGAAGGTTATCATCAAGGAGGAAGGTTTTGGGGGTCTCTACAAGGGCTGTTCTGCATTACTCTGCAGGGATTGCTCTGCTTCTGCAGTATATTTCCTTTCCTATTCTGCTCTGTGYGACTGGGTCACACCAGCTGGCTCACAACCAGGTAGGTATTGGAAAGCATCTGGCTACAYCTGCAAAAATGACAAAAATCGCCTACACTAAGAGGGAAACCAGGCTCTGGGCAAACATCACCCAGGACCTGTAAAACCTCACCCAGATCCTCATGAGGAGTTGCTCTGTGTGTGCTGGTTTTGGCCCCAGGCCTGGGTGYCAGCAGCCTGTGTGTGATGTCTACACTGGCACAACCTTGTCTTTGAGCAGCTCTTCCTCCTCTTCCTACAGGAGAGGTTTTTGCCAGTCTGATGCCTCCAATGTGGATAAGAAATCCTGTTAAGGCAGAAACAGGATATATAGCAATTAAACATGGACAAAGCTCCTGGGAGCCATCATGGAGATCAGATAAGGCTCAGGCAAGAGCTTGAATATAAAGCCCAGGTGGAGGTGAAGAACCTCAGGTTCTTAGTTGTGATTTGGCTCAAAAAAGCACTATCCATTTTGAGAAAAGACTGAATMGATAACATTCAGCAAAGAACATCTCCCTGAGAATGACAAAAACAATTAGATCCATCTGCAAACTGTGAGTGCTCTTAGGCAGTAACACATTGTGTGGTGTTAAAAGCATCATGTGCAAAAAATGAGTATTCTGTGAGATCACTGGAAACACACAACTCCAAGAGCTGGATAAAATAACTGCTGAAAAAATATGAAAGTTACCAAAGTTTGTTGACAAATCTGAGATGCTTGTAGCTGAATGAAATGCAAGTGAACTGTCCCTCCCTTCACTCTCTCYTCAGGTTTCCTTGTTGTTCTGTTTTCTGGAGGTTTTGCTGGAGCCCTGGCCTGGGCATTTGCTACTCCCATGGATGTAATCAAATCCMGGATGCAAGCAGATGAATTGGACCAGCACAAGTACAAAGGCCTGATCCACTGTGTGAGGGAAAGTGTGAGAAAGGAGGGTGTAAAAGTGCTTTTCAAAGGACTGGGTTTAAACTGCCTTCGTGCCTTTCCCGTGAACATGGTAGTATTTGTAACATATGAAGGTGTACTGAGATTTACAGATCATTATATAAACAAAAAATAGTTTGTTCCACTCTGTCCAAAGTGTATTTTATTTATTTGTCTGTAAGTCAATATCCACAAGCAGCTGTTGAATTGATGGGCAGCATCAGAAGAATGGACATTTAGGCACAAAGCTGATGATTGATGGTTTTGTTTTATTCTTGTAGGATTACAAACTCATCAGGGAGCTTTGGCTTCATATATAATCTCCCTTTTATCTCATTGAAATATTTAGATGGTAGCTGCTGCTCAGGCCCTTGAAACATTTGTGAATTTTTATGTTCTAATAAGCTGTTTGTCTGATCAGGGGTTTTGGTAAATCACATCATTTTGTTTTCTACTGGCACAAAAAAGATCCTCACAACCAAAGGAAGAGCTGGGGGGAGCTTGTGTAAGATTTAACACTCTCCAGCGCGCGCTCCTCGCATGCAGCGCCTGCACCGCATTCACCGAGTGTCTTACATACTTGTGCTTCAGGCTGCAACTTCCCCTTCCCAGCAGTGATTTTCCCAAAGCACTGTACAATTATATCCCCTTGGCAGCAGCTGAGGCAGGAATGTCCTTTCTTTTCGCCGTAGCTGTGTAATGAGTGGCAGACATGGCCTGTTTACATAACTGCACTAATGGTCTTGCTGCAGCCACGCCAGGCACGGGTTCCCGGCAGGCACGTGGTTTTCTCCCTACACAGCCCCAGCCTCTCCCGCAGGCCTGTGGAGCAGCGTCTCTCTGAGCTTGGCACAGCTTTGGAGGCAATCTGTTCTCATCCTGGAGCGAGGGTAGGAATAGATGCAAAGCCTCTTTGCTTCTCAAAGGAAAGGCTGCCATAAAATCTGTGTGCTGGCGGGGTTAGGCAAGTTAAAGGAYGGTTGCAGAGTTGTAGAGCTTAATCAGGATTTCCGACTTTTAAAAGTGCATGCTCTTCTCTCTTTAAATGGTGCTGTTAGGAGCMGCCAAATGTATTTTGGCAAAGGTGCATTTTGAAAGAACTGACTTTCTTATTACTTGTTTCTCATCTTATTACTTCTATTTCATTACTTTTAATGAACAAGTCAGTTGAAAAACCAACGCCCATGCTAYTGCTTCTGAAGGAAAGCCCCTAAAYGCAGAAATGTCAGTTTGCTCATCMTGCCTCAGGGGCCACATATATGCTTCTGTTTTAATCCCTGGATTATGATACTTGAAGCATTCTGGATCCAGCCTCTGAGATTCTGCTAAAAATGCATTTATTGGAGGGGAACAGGAGTACTGTATTTTAAGAGGATCTCATGTTCAGGACTCTTCTGGTCAGCAGCCGCTCTCTCCACTTGATGGCATGGCTTTGGCTACACTGACAGCAGTTTTGTGGCAGGMAGGACTTGTCAACTGTCTTGGACATGCAGAAAAGCAAGAAAATTAAAGATTTCAGGTACTCCTAGACAAGAATAAAGGGAACTTGTGTCCCAGACAGAGACTACTAAAAAGCTCCACAACTGTCCTCATGAAATCTAAGCCTTCAAWTGGCCTTTTAAAACACTTTCACAGCCATGCTATCAAAAAAGTATGTTAATTCTCTCAARGGTCTACCCAGCTCTTGCARCTGATCCAAGAGCAGTGTTAAGAGACCAGGCTGGTGCACAGTACGTCACCTTAAGGGGAGTGAAATGAAAGACCCARCATGGAACTGGATTCTCTCCAAAATGCTTTTGGGCCCAACAATCTACTACCCTGGTTACAGCTTTGGATGTCAGCATCAAACTTCCTTTAGTCAGGAAGTCCTTAAATTAGAAGATTTAATTAAGTCCTTGAGATCTGGAATTCCTCTTAAGATAGCTCTCAAGAATCTACTGCCCTCATATCTTTCTAACCAGGGATGCATTTAACTGGGCAGATTTATCTGTGCTCTGCCTGGATGTTTGGAATCATATCCTCTATGCCATGTTATTCTCAGCTGACCTCGTTCTCAGGCATTACATCCTCTGACAGTGAAAGAATGCCTGCAGAACTAACAAAAGACTAAACAACCATTTATTGTTAGGCAGCACCGATACCATCCATGGTCAGCCCAAGGGTTGAATATTAAATTTTTCCCAGTATGCTAACACTCAGAAAATTAAAAATGTCTCCTCCTGTAGGTATAACTGAAATACAGCAGATTTCAAGGGAGAGGAATTACAGAGGAATTGTAAATATGAGTGAGAATAACTGCAGAACCCAGTGCAAGGAGCTGAGACCTCTAAGTCTCGAGGTACCCGGCACCATGTATTAGAAGGCTCTCACAGGCTCTGAACAAATACTACATGAAAAGCAAATATTATCTCCAGGAAGCTTATTTCAGGAAGGTAAGGGATTTGCAATCTACAGGGAAAAACATCCACAAGGTGTGTGGGWGACAACCTGCCTTAGAGGAAGAGCTCACAGCTATMYAAACACYACMAGGAACAGAAACTGACTGCATGAGTACTGTAAACAGAGGCACATAAATATGAACCAAGTTTTGTTTACTGACAGGACACATTATGTACTTCACTATACACACCCCAAGCTGGGTGCTCAGCTTTTGGTTTTCAGCCCTTGACTGCTTTATTTTCTGATTTGTATAATCTTGACCTTTAGCTACTCTAACTAATCACAGAACTATTTATTTTGATAAATTAGCTAGATGAAGGCCAGCCAACAGAAAGAAGGTACCACATTTGCTGTGCTGGTAATGGGTTTACTTTGCTATATGGACTGCAGCTTCTTGTATAGATGATTTCTTTCAGCAACAAAGTTGGTGGCCTTGAGAAAAAGAAAATTCTTAGAAGGCATAGTCAGGATCAAGTTCCATGCTGCTGGAAGTTCCTGTTTACTCTGACAATGTCTATGGATATCCAGGTAGGTTTCAGCATTCCTCTTGGTGATTGTGGAAGAGCTGTGAGAAGCTATTCAGAATTTATGCCTTTGCACAGAAATTGTGAGAACCATGTTTTCACTTTAGCACCRGTTTTACACCAAACCTACTGAGGTGTCACTGCAAACAGGTCTCATTGATCTTCCCCCCATCCCAGAGCTGGCTGCTGATCAACATCCAGTCTGGCTTGTGACCARGTCATCTCTGCACAACTGACCCTTACTAGCTCGCTCCAGGAGCAGTCTGAAGTCTGCCTGGAAGGCGGTTCTAAGGCACCCTGTTTCAGCACTTCAAAACAAGGAGCAGCTACATCAGATGACAAATCAACACCTAAAAAGGTAGGAAGAGATATCAAAAAACAAAGTGTAAATTAAGGCTTTTAAAAATAATAATAAAAAAGTAAAACCAAGTAAGTTTGATACAGACTTTTATCTACATTTTTTATTACAGTGAGATGAACAAATAAGCAAATTGAGGAAAATGTAATGAACTTCRCCTGATAACATTTCAGTGTGCTTTTGGAAACTGCCTTGTCTTGACTTTTAAATATCTCTGGGACATGAATTGCAATTAACAACAGATTCAGGAAYTCACCAAGACTTCTCTGAGAAACTGTACCATTTCAGAAGCACTTTGGTACGAATTTATCAGAGGACTTGAAAACAGCAAACAAATACTAAATGGTTATGCTATCACTTTCCTTTCTAGAACTTTCAAAACATATTTCAATTGTTGTAAAATAATACATCTGCTTATCTAGAATAGTGGTACTGTTTCTCCTACAGCATATTTCCCTTTGCTGAATAACAAAATTAATTCTTAGCTAATGAAATAAATATAGCAGAACCTGCATACACTATTTTAAACAAGAAATTTGCATTGTAAGTATTTAACAGCACTTTTAAAGTCAATTTAAGGCTTATCTTTTATATATGGCTTAAAGATGATGAAGAGTAGACTGCAAAAACAGGAAGGCCATCATTAAAGTTTAAAGTAACTAAGATTTAGCCTATTTATTACTGGATTTACGAAGCTGCCTTTTTCCCTACAAAGTGCTCCACTACTTCTAGRAAAAAAAATCTTACTCATTGTTAAACGCTTTCTGGCACTGAGATGCTTTGCCTGTGGGTTATGGAGACAGTCTCTGGGAAACATTCTCATTAAAACACTGAAGTCAGTGGCATTAGATCAGTGATGCCAACTCACATAAACTGWAAAGAGAAAGACAAAAGCTAAGCCTTGCTATATTCAGCACAAGTTTGAAACTCATGYAATAGGAGTAGGTTTGCCTTGCACTTCTGTGCTCCCTGAACAAACATAACCAGGTTAACACACCTGTGTTATTTACACCAAATAAAAATACCTTTGCTAAGACTGTGTCTGGGCTAGCAACTTGCCATTCTATACAAGACAGATCTAACAGTTTGCACTCAGTGCTGTACATATCAAAACAAATAGCTAATAATTTGAATTTTTCTTCCATAAATCATAGCAAAGACATTTCCGATTAAAGGATATAATTAAATATTACATGGGGTATTTTAACAAAGTATATTTTCTCACTGGAATACATCCTAAAATAAGTATCAGTAGTTTAAACAACATGGCGCAGCCAAAGGGAACAGATAGTGTCCAGTGTGACTTCATTTTCACAGTATGATTTAATGCTTGTGATTTATAACTAAATTCACTGAAACTTGTCAAAGAGGAAGGTGATAGCAAGACAAGTCTGATATTCTTTTGCCAGTGTTTAGCTCACAGGTGTCCACTCTTTTTGTACTGATCCCACTTTGTAACATTCACAACCTTTTTGTGTGCAGCATGTTCTCAGTAGCCCAAGAGGACATASAGTCTAGTAAACTAAGGTACACAACAAAAAAGAAAATGGACCCACTATTTATTAGGTTGAGATATGACCTCTTACCAACATGTTTAAAACAATTTCCAAGTTAGCCTTTATCATCAAATGGAAATTTTATTTATATTTTCAACATGAAATACATTAAAATACAATGTTGGGCTGACAGACATGCTTTTCTGCAAGACTGATCAATTCTGTCTTGCATATTCTGATTTTAAATAGATACAAGTTCTATTTTCAACTTTTTCTGTACTCTGCTGTTCATGATAATTTACTAATTATTTATAAAGCACCGATTACAGGCTGTACATAACTAGGGAATGATGACATACAACAGAAGACAACAATTACTCRGTTGTGGATTATCAAGTGCTAAGTTACATACACATTTCTTCAAAATTCAAAAGCCAGCTTCCTTGGAGTCATGAATTGCTTCACGATTTCATCTGTGACCTGCTTCCTTCTTTCTTGATGAGCTGCTACCAGGGGCTGCATTGTTTCAATAAGCACCTTCTTCAGCTCCCCTGTGAGCAATTCCCCACTGGTRTAAGCCTGTCAAGAAAGTGTTGGTTGCTGAACATGGTGCCATTCACAAAAAGACTCAGTAACCAGTATTTCCATAAAAGACAGATCTGGATGTCTTAAAAATAAGCACAAGCCTTAGAAGATTATCTGGTATCACTCTAAAAATGCAACAAATGCAACTTGCAGAGTTTCTTGTTGTCTGTTAAAAGATTAAGGCAGCTGGGAAAGTTTGTATGTGACTAGTTATTATAAGGACTGAATAAACTACATTCACAAGTTTAACAAGGAAATCCTGTAATTACTTGCAGGAAACGGCATATTTTCCTCCCCAGAATCCCAGTTCAAATAAACAGGCACCCTAAGATGTTTTGTTTTTGTTTTGTTTTTTTTTTTTTGGAATGACAGGTACAAATTCTCATACTTTTCCCTTATTTGGGTAAGAGATTAGATGTGATTAAAATACCCTCTTTGTAGCAAAGGCACTCAGAATCTACACTGACACTGTAGTCATATTCACAGTTGGCAATCCATTCCAGTGCTCAAAACCRAAATGCTTAGAACCACAGGCTAACAGTTTATTGGTTCAGCCACAATTTCAAAACCACGTCTGGGGCAATTCAACTATATTTGAAATGACAATAAACATGATATTCTTAACTCCCCTTGTCACCAAGCCATTTAAAACACCTGTCCAAGGTCTAAATGCTGCTCATGTTCACTCAGCAAGAGTAAAATAMGTTAACAAGAATAAATGGAATTGCAATTCAGTGATGGCTTTTGGGATGTGTGTACTATTTTTTGCTTGTTAGTTTATTATAAAAACACCAACATTGCTTTCTCTGAAAGTGCCCTCTGGTGCTACACCTGAAACAGCTRCACTGATGCTGCTACAATGGGTGAGTTCATGTTTTCTACTCAGGTTCTGAGGCCTGAGGCAGCACTGCAGCAAGCTGCAAGCTGTAGGCCAGGCTTTTTGCTCTGCAGCAGTTAGGCTGACACTCTTGCAGTGGTTGGAAATTAATGAAAAAAATCTCGTTAAGTCAAATGAGTTCCAGGTTTCCATAAGGAATTTACAACAGTCTGGAGGGGAAGAAGTAGCTATCTAACCCTGCTCTTGTGTGGGAAGGAGTAGAGRGCTGGAGAAGAATCTGCAGCTCTTGACTTTCTGGCTGCTCCCMGCAGGAGAAAGCTGATAAACCAATGTGACACAGGTGTTATCTACTGAAGCTTCTGCCTTCCAGAGAACACACATCACCTAGCATTGGTGACGAATGGAAATGGCTGGATACCAGCCCTGGGGACAGAAGCCTGCCAGACAGGCTTAAGGAAAATGTAACTTACAGGAAGCAGTTTTTGCTTGGGATAAGTGAATCAATTCCTCAGAGCTATTAAATTTCTTGTGATGATAAGAAAAATCCCCAAACCAGCAAGTGAAAGCTTGACATGAGCTTTTGCAGCTTTACAATAGGTAAAGGTACTTTACAATAAGGAATAGGCAGAGTTTATTATACAACTAAAACCACGCTAAAGACAAGGTGGCCTCATTTGAAAGGTAGGGAAGATACTGTCCTACAGAATGTTGGGGATTCCTGTAAAAACACCAGGGATTGCTTTTTTTCAAAGAGAGAGATTTGCCTGTGAGAAAGGATGCGGCAAACAAAAAAAAACTGAGATACTAATATTGAACCTTGCAAGGGATGGTGAGCGTGAGAATGACACCAAAATTACCTTCCTGGAGAAGGCTCACAGGAGCACCGAGTTACAGCTCTGTTGAGGGCTGAGGTACAGCTTTGTCCTCAGAGCAGGGAATGCATAATGCCTTCAGCCTGSTTACTCACCTGCTTCAGCTGCTGCAGCCTGTCATCATCTTCCAGGAAGAAGGTCAGGTACATAATGGACACATCGACGTCACAGTTGCCTCCGTACTTCCTGTGCTCCTCGATGGTGTCCCTGCCTCCTGAGAAGGCATGCTTGTTAATCTGAAACAACACCATGAAGTYATGCTGTAATTCCCACTACAGTCAGGATTACCTTATTGCAAACAGAGATGTGTCATGATCCTCCAAATTCTTTATAAAGGGAGGATTAGCTGAAGAATGAGTGGGACAAGTTAATGCAGAGGCTCAGGACTGAAAAAAGGAGGTCATCAGAACCCAGCAGGGAAAAAATGGCTATACACATACTCCTCAGACTGCATAGCCAGAACAAAAATTAGTGAAAATTAAAAATAATCTACCCAAAACTCAGTCAGAAAAAAATTTAAGTCTGTTTTGCTGAAGCTGTTGGATAGAATTTGTGCTTACAGGAAAYGTACTTCATGTAGCAAAAAATAAGRTATTTACTGTATCAAGAAAWTRATTTTGAAAGAGATGGAAGAAGGCAAGGAAAATCCTGCAAAAATCTTATAAAGAACCTAATCTCCTCTTTTTGGGGAAAAGGAAAACATGAGAAAGTGAAGTTAAAGATTACATTAAAGATAAAGAAGTCTGTCTAGAATGCTTAAAATCAGACCARTGCCCAATTGTTCAGTCTAAAAATGGAGTATTTGCTGACATCCTCCCTTTTTTTAGCATAGTTTCCTATAGGCAGATGAACAGCACTACCAACTGATATAATTGCTATTCCCATTCTCAATAAATTCAGAAGCCACTGGCCTATTTTAAACATTTATACATATGTRGAACTCTCTGAGGATACTAATCTTCCTACAAATTTAAAGAAAATAAATTGCTAAGTGAAGGGAAAAAAATTTCTTAACCATATGCTGAGCTTTCATTTGGCTCTCATATCTTTTGAGATAACACAATCAACCTCCCAAGAGACACATTTGCATATGAAGTAAGGGGTTTTTTTTAGTTCTGGTATCTAGGAGCTGTTATATATTTACAACTGATGAACATTTCTACTATCTGTATAGACTGTCTAGTGCTTTTTTGAATCTCTCCAACCACCATGTTACAGATGAAGTCTTGTGGCAATGAGCTACAATCAGAAATGATGCACTGATKAATATTTTAAGAAAATGAACTGCCATCTGCCACATTACATCTATTCTTATATTGTAGGGGAGCCTGAATAGCTGTCTCAGCATCTGTGAAACTAAGTTTTTACATAGTGTTCTGCACTGACCTCTCTCCTTACTGGATTTTGTAAGCCTGYAAGAAATATTTTCAATGTCTTTTATCTCTACATTTTGAGTTCTTCCTAAACTGAGAGGGATTAAATACAGTACGTCAGGTGAAGGCATAATTTTGTTGAAACACAAAATGTTTCCTTTCTTAAATTAATTTTTAACATATTCTGTCACCTAGTAATTGAMTGAGAGTTCCAGTGACCTATCTATAGTGACGCACTGATTTATTCCCCCCTGAATTTCTGTGAATCCTTGAATATGTCTACCAACATAAAATTTAAGTAACACTTTTTAGGAAAACAAATAGGTAATTGAGCTGTATTTTGCTTATAGGTGAAATAAGGACAGTTTATTAAAATRCTGCCTCTCATCTCACTGGATTACYCAGAATCTTCTTAGCCTTTCCCCATACATAGTAATTTTTAATCTTCTATTACCTGTAAGTTTTGAACCTCATTAATTAACAAAATACCAAYAATCTGAAAAATGCTGTAAGCAGTATTTTTTTTTCCAGCATAGCATTCTCTTTTTAAACTTTATCCATGATCAAAAGCCACTTTCCCAATCAATTTTTAAATTTATTTGCTATTAAAATATTTGATCTTTCACTTAAGCTCTATTTCCATAAAGACTTGTTTCTGATGGGATTCAGAAGGTGAAATAATTCTCAGTTTGTCTTCCATTACTCAATACTTTACATGATGTTCAGGATTTTTCTTTACGCCTTTTATATTAATATTAGCTAGAATTATTATTTTTTTCSCAAGTAGTTTAAAGATAGTAGAATTAGGATTTATGAGTTTGGATCACTTTGCAGATTACAAGTTACTTGCCAGGAAAAAAGACATGGAAGACTGTTACCAGTATTACCATAAACCATGTATTCTCTAATCTGAAATCACATCTTTTTTTTTAAAAGCAACTATGTAACTGTGCTAATAAACTGGAATTATTATAATCCAAACACATGAAAAATCCAATTCTACAAAACAGTACTGTTTGATCAGTTTCTACAAACGAGAATGAAGTGTTATGAGGTGGCTGTAGAAGAGTCTGACTGTAAGAGAATTAAACCAAGCCCGCCCAACAGAAACAATATAAATATCTTCTTGTTTTGACAGTTATTTCATGTCTACAAATTCTTTCCCAAGAAAATGATTTTCATTTTCTTTAAATACCACAACACAGGCAAACTTTTGCCAAAGTAAATCATCTGACACCAGATAAGAGTGATCTTCCTTTGAACTTGGAACCAAACTAGGAATATGCTCACACAGAAGAAAATACCCCTTTTAAAACTGAGTTGAAATTCCACCTAATGTTTATTTGTGAGTTGGAGTGAGCAGATTTATTTGTGAATTGGCAGCAATAGATTCCCAAGCAGCAAAAAAGGTCTGACCTGTGTTGTAATCAACACCATGAAATGTTTGCTGCTCCTCACTAGGAGAGGCAGTCAAGAGAAAAAGCTGTTTATTAGGTTTACATCACGACCTGTCAGATTTCAAAACTATGGCAACACAATGTTTATTTTAAGAGCATGAGSTCTTAAATATTTATTTATTAAGCATAAGCCTCCACAGCTCTAATTCTTACACCACTGCTCTGCAGGTATCAGAAAACCCAACATGTTTTGTACATTATCCCAGCTAATATTTGTACTGTCCGACTAGCTGGTAAGGCATATTTGATAGTCTAGCTAAATTTGYCTAACTCAGTCAGTTCCTGAAGATGCTTTGCCATGAAAAATATGGAAAAAAAGGATTCATATATGTTCAAGGAAAACACTAAAAATTGTCATTGTATCCAGGAGAATCACTGAAGGCAGACAACTGGAAGGGGTATCAAGTAGGAGCTGTGGGCCAACCTCTGCAGCACTTTCTGATGAAGCTGGAGATGTTTATATTTTTATGGTACCTACAGACACGGTTTACTGGTGGATTTGGCAGTAACAGGTTAATGGTTGAACTCTTGGCAGTGACAGGTTAATGGTTGAACTTTATGATCTTAAGGGTCTTTCCTGACCTAAGTGACTCTATGATTTTATCATAGAATTAAAAAGCTTTGTGCTATCAGGATTTGCAATTCCTTACCTTTGTCTTGATTTGTTTGGGTGTATCAGTGAGGAAGATGGAGGAATTTGGGTCACTAGCACTCATTTTGGTCTGTGCTCCTTGTAGGGCTGGGAAGAAGACTGAGTGGAGTAAGGCTGGTTTAGGCTGTCCAATCCTTGGTGCTACATCGCGGGTCATTCTAAAATAAGGATCCTAAAACAATAAAAGCACAGAATAAAGTTGAAAAATGTGATTTAAAAGCTAACTGATGCTGACTCATTCATGCCTTAAGAAGTGCTGTGAAAAAACCAAACTGAAAAAAAACCAAACCATGAAATGTTCCAGAACCTATTTCCAATCCAGTTCATTCAGAGAAGCAACAAACAAAATCTCCTTTTTCCTTTTCCACAGTGCTGTAGACTCTGATTCCCTTAATAGGCATACTAACAGAATTTTACATTAATTCAAGCTTAATATGTSTGGAGATGGATACAGCCTAAGATGAAAGTGTTCTCCCAAAGCATTCTATCAACCAGCAGAGAATCTGAACTAAATCAGTGATCAAGGTGGCACTGCTGTGATGATGACATGACTTAAATCAAAGTGCAATAATGTTACTTTATAATATTGCAGATGAATATGATTACAACATTTTTCAGTGCCTGTCCCTGTGACTAAAACAGCTAAAGATTCAGACAGTGCAGGATGTGATTCCTAGAAACACTACTTATTTAAAGACCCTATTACTCTCATTCGTATCTGATGTTCTTCTAGCTCTTTCTATAATTCTGGATTGTTAAGGTTCTGCAGCCTTTCTGGCAAACTATTTCAATGCTTCTKTATTCTTACTGAGAAAAGGTTTTTCCCCATGGTTCAAGAGAAATCTCTTGTGTTGCAAGTTGAGCTCATTCCATCTTGTCCAAGTTACCATGGAGATGGCCAAAAGTTTCTTCCTACCCCATGTCAGCGTGCCTTTGCATAGATGTTACCTTCTTTGCTTTCCTAGATGTCAGCTCAATGTGAACTGAGTTGAGGTCAAGAGAGATCCAAGCCTGAATGAATACATGACTGTTGGCTTAAGCCTTCATCTTTTCATCTTTTATGTCTTTCAATTTCTACMCCTGAAAGGTGCTTGCAGGAATGTTTTACAGATGCTTCGAGAMACCACCACAAAGCTAGAATGGTTCAATACAAAACCTAATCCATGAAAACAAAATTAAGCAATTTGATTTTCTTACCTGATCAATAGCACATGGGATAAGACATTGAATATTTTCCTTGCCATTGAAAATCTGTGGAAATGATGAACTGAAGGATGGAGCAGCTTGGATAGCAGGAAAGCTGATCTTACCTAAAAAASATGTTTGGAAAAGCTAAGCAATCAACAGAAGCAGTGAAAAATAGAGAGAWTTTTTTGCAATATGTATAATGCACAAGTGAATCATCCAGATATTTAGTTGAAGACCAAGCTCTATCTTTATCAAGCATTGTTGCCTTATCTGAAGAAACATTTTCATCTTTACCTTCTGTAACGTCAACTTCAATTGACATAGAAACTAAAGACAAAAGGCAAGCTGTGACCACAATGACTTCAGAAAAAGTTCATCACTGCATACTCTCTTGATCAGTGAACTATCTACCCTTGCWGAAATACAATTGACTAAATCATTACTTGTAGATTCTCCTTTTTTTTCTTTGTGGGAGAACAGCTACAGTCATCACATAAGCTTCCCTCTAAATCTTAGAATCAYTGCTATTTGCATGTTGTACTCATGAAGCACCTCAGATGTATCCAGCTTTCTTTTTTTTTTTCTTTTTAATCACAGCATYGCCAACCTGCTTCCCTGATCAAAATCCTATCAGAAGAGAGAGCAAGTAGCAGACTTTTACAAACGTGTGATGAAGTCATTATCACAATACCATCTTTCATTAGAGCTGAAACAAAGGGAAATCTGATCCCTGGTTACAGTGAAGGCTAAAAAGCTGTCACTGACCCAATTAATGGATGAAGAATGATGACAATACTCAGAAATATCCAGGATTTAATACCATCTTTACACAGAATATTTTTTAGCCATGTGACAGAARTCTGCAACTGCAGTGAAGTAAATGGGAGAGTGAGTTACCCAGCACTTTGATAATTAGGCTATTCACCAGTCAATCTTTCTCATATATGTAAATGCATGTGTATTAATGAAACCTTTTCTGACAAGTTTCTTAACAAATCTGACATAGAAATTTCTAGAAGGTAAAACTGACTATAGCTCCAATCACTGCAACAAAAGAATAAAAAAYAGTACATGTTTTGTACTTTGCTCTTACTAAGGCCAAAAAGGCTGATGTCATGCTAGAAATTTCACTGCAAAATGTTTTCAATTCTGAAAGAACCACAAAAACAGAAATACGATCTTTCTGCCTTTTCTTCTGTTTCATGAGTGGTAAACACTAATCTCTTTRGATTATTACTTAAAATAGCTCCACTGAAAGTGAAAGCAAGCACTGTTTCTTGTAACTCATATGACTTCCTACCAATGCAATCACTGTCTGTAAAGCCAAAGATTCCTTTCACTTGGTTAAATGTGACATGCTTCTGAACTTTGACAATGTTTTTGTAGAATCCGGCACTTGTCCTGCGAGAAAAAAAAAAAAGTGGAAAAATAAAATGAGAAGAGGAGGAGAGTGTGTGCACAAACTTTCACTGCAACAGCTGAGAACAACAAAAAACCTGCAGGATTAAATCTCACAATTTCAGACTTTCTGTGGCCCATTGAGATGATAATTAAAGAATTATTTACGAACAGGAAATTTATGCCTTGAAAATTAATTTATTCTTCCCTTCCCCCAACAATTACTACAAACCTTTTTTTTTCTGCAAGTAACGGTCTAAGCCCAGAAATACTATGATTTGGAAATGGTGCCAGAATGCCTGAAGTTTACTTTCCTTATGCTTCTCTGTGAACTCTGACTTCTTAAATAGATCATGTCTTCTGTTTTGTTTGGTATCCCCAGTATGTATCCCATACAGGACACTGCTGTTTTCTGAATGAACAGTAGCTTACATCTTACGGAGCCTAATTTTATATGGGGATAAGTTCCCTGGCTGGATTTTCTCTGTCACTAAACAACAGCAGCATTTCAAACCAGAAGTAGCTCAGTAATGCCCTCCTTTTTTACTTCTGCTGAGGAGGTAAAGCAATGGAAACAGCAGTGTCTTGGTGGTTTTAGGTACTTTTACACTTAAGCTGGTTTAACATATTTTTTATAATTTACACATTGGACACACAAGTATATATTCATATGTTATACAGGAGAATGACAATAGTATATACAAAATGTTAGAAAGCAGAAAAAAAAAGTTTCTATTTCAAGTGTTACAAAACCTGTCCTGAAGATTTCAAATTTAGAKACAATTAAAACATTGCTGGCTCTCAAAGTTGGAGAGAAAACACATCTTTTCCCTTACAATGCTCCAAAGAAATTTATACTTACCCTAAATAGTCTAGATCTGAAAATATAAAGGTTTTATTGACATCAAAACCACATGCAATGATGTCTTTKGCATTTTCTCTAGCATATTCATATGCCTTCTCAACTGTCATGTCCTTCCAAAGATATTTCTCATCATCAGTTAACTGTATTACCAAGGGAACATCAAAAACTTCTTGCAGCCACCTAATAGGAAGAGATAAATTTTATCCCAAAGTAAATGAAAATGAAGTTGTAAGTCATGCAGCTAATATTTTTATATATTTAAACAAAAGTATATGAAGAGGCCCGTTCTTTTCTTTGTATGCATATCCAGTTGTATTTATGTGAACAGATAAAATTTTTATGCAGCTTACAATGACAGTTTACCTGGAAAAAAGACTGTTTCCTGTACCCATGACAATGGTCACCAATTGCARAGGAACCAGAATTCAAAGAGGTTTTAGCTTTCTGAGCCCAATGTCTCTGTGTCCTGCTGCTGCAGGCACCGCTTTACAGAGTAATGCTACTGAGTCTTGTAATGAACTGGTTTTGGGGAACAACAAAAATTCTAAGGAGTGCCACTTGGCTAAGGGAATAAAGAAGAGAGCTTTATGGTGATGGAGGGATTGTGATCATTTGAGTGAAAAGGTAAGACTGAATTAAGTTCATTAATATTCACTTCACATAATCAGAACTTCTTGCAATGCATCATTCTGGCAGTTTCACAAGCCATGTTCAGTATTTCCTTTGGAAAAAATGCTTTGATTAACACAAATGGTAGAAATAGCTTACTTTGTGAACATAAATGGGATAAGATGACCAACGTGCATTGCCTGAGAGGATGGCCCTCTGCCTGTATAAAGGTAAAACGGCTTCTTATTTTCATAAGCATCGAGTACTTGATCCATATCTCTAGAGAAAGAAGAGAAAACATGATACAATTCTTTAGTAAGAAATATTCACAGCAAAAAGCCTCTATTCAAAATCTGAGTGCTTTTAAAGCCAAATGTATTTATGAATAAATTTTAGTATGTTAAATGCCCTAGAAACAAAAAAAGTTATTGTTTACTCATTTCTTAATTTAAGAAAAGCATCCTTCATTCTCCACAGGGAAAAATCCCTCAAAGAAAAATGAAATAAAAACTAAAAATGTAATGTTGAAATTGTGCAACTTTCAAAGTTACTTCAACGGATAAYAATCTCTAGGGCCTAGTAAAACAGCCAGGGATCATTTCTCAAACTCAACCAACCAGCACAGCTGACCTCTGGTGGAGGTTATGCCTCAGCCATGCTCAGGCCCTTCTGTGAAACCTGCTGGTGCCACAGCCCCAAAGCTCCCATGTGCTAACAATTAAACAGAGAAGGTCACTGCCAGGATTATGCTTGAGATTGTTCCCTGAGCCTTTCCATGCCACAAACATGCAGAGGCCATGGGAGCCCTGCTGAAATCACCAGCAGCACCTGGAGTTCCCTGCCAGGCTACTGCCTCTGGCTGCTGACGCAGAGCCAGAATGAACCTACACTCTGTGCACTTTTCTTTAGTTTGGGATTACTGAGGACGTATCAGAAAAACCCACACAATGTTTAAATGTTGCCAGGGGAAATCTGCAGTAGTTGCTAATTTCAAATGGCACAGCTCRTTTGCCTTGGTATAAAAGCACATGGTTTTTGTTAGTTACAGGCTTCTCTCAATAATTCTCACAGGAAGTCTACCCAAAAGCATCTTTTGAATTTTAATAAAAGAAAAACYCACCTGTGGGAAAAAAAGATTCCTCTACGTAGAAAGTGGTGAGGTTTTTGCCCAGTTGCTCTTTCTATTCGATTGATCAGATCTGTGTCAATTTTACTGCTGCCAAACCGAACTATAATCATAAAATGTTAAAAAAAGAATTAAAATAAGCACAGCATAGCTRCAACCAGATCTTGGAATACCAAGAACATACCAATGCAGGCAAGATTAAGAAAGACATCTTCAAGTCAAAGTAGCTAGATTTTCCTAATTCTTGCCTGAAGTCCCAGCAGTCACCTCCAGYATTAACTCTATGCTAGGAAGCTCAGCTCATTCCCAAATGCAATATTTCTCTATCCATGAATTACTATAATTGCAGACTCCTTACAGCAGAAGCATTGATATTCCAAGCAAAAACACATGCTAAAGAAACACCTTCATATCGACAACTTGGCCTCTCTAAGCCATAAGATAAAAACGATTATAAGGCTCTGAAGGTTTCTCTCTCGATGTCTAAATTTTCTACTGTCAGACAACATTGTCTGTCACTTTCACTCAGACATCACCAATCCCAAATACTCTTTTGAAAATGTAATTCTTCTTTAATATGCATATGATTACAGACACTGCTCCCCTCAAGAGGCTTGAAAAGGAAATGCATAATGCTCTTCRTGGCAATCAGTAAGATGTACAACTTGGTGATTTAGGAAGGATTGTGATAGAGTAAAATGGCAGTATTTTTCCTATTCCAAATACATCATGGATCCTAATMATCAGGCCAATGTTCTATGATTTGGACTCATTAAAAAAATCTATACAAGAGTCTGCTGTTTGCTTCTATTCTGCTCTATTCAACATCAGAACTATTCAACACTGCACTAATAAAATGCAAAATGCATTACAAAATGACGAATTGTAATCTGGATGAATGCTAAAAAGAGACTAAATGAGCATGAAAATGATTCAGCACATCTATAGCAACTGGTAAGAGGCTATCTGACAGAAACAGAAAACATGAAAGTGCCCCAGATTAACTGGGACTAGCTACCCTARAAATAGTAATGTACTGTCAGAGAAAGTGACTAAAAAAGCCCTCTGATGTATAGAACACGTCACTGGAAATGCCTAAATATTGTTATTAAACATTCAGACTATACAGCTGCCTTTTTTCTGCCCGTCTTTACCTTTTCTATTAGCAAAATGGGTAACTTTCCCCTACCTATTTCTTCCTATTTGAATGCTCAAAACATTTTAGGCTCTCTACTCACAAAGAATCTGCCTCTCTAAACAACTTCTGACAAAGACACAGTCTCCACTCCTAAACAAGCTTTAAAGAAACTCSTAGTGTGCTTTTCATCTCTGCTGTTCTGGCTTTTACCAAGACAGCTTTCAACTCACTGTGCATAAGAAGTCCTGAGAACTGCCATTTTCAAAAGCATATTTGAATTTCCTGAAAATTCATTGTGCACTTTTCCTCTTTGCCATTGCCCTGTTATATCTGCACGGAGAAAAGAATACCCTAATATTTGTTATACAGTAACTTTAGTGATCAGGTATGTCTTGATGATCTCTGAACAGTCATGACAACCCAGAGAGGTTCTTGGAGGCTGCAAGAAAACAAATACCAATCCTACATTAAAGAAGGGCTAGTAGAAGAAGGAATTGTGAAACTACAGGCCAGTCAGCCTCACCTCAATCTGTGGGCATATGCTCAAGCAAATAATCCCGGAAACCATCCCCAAATATTAAAGACATGAAGGTGACYGGTAATAGTCAGCAAGAATTTATGACTGGAAAATCATGTCAGACCAATTTAATAGTCCTTCTATGATGCCATGATTATAGCTGAGGTGGGAACAGTGAATGCTGTTTACCACAGCTTTACTAAAGCTTTTGACACTGCCTTCCATCTCATTCTCATAGATAATTGATGAAGTCTGGAATARGTAAGTGGACAGCAAGGTGAACTGAAAACTGGCTGAACTGCCAAGCTAAAAATGTCGTGAGCAGCAGCAGAGAGTCCAGCTGGAGCCCAGAGTCCAGGCTCAGCAAGTGTGCAGGTAGRATGATCCTGGGAGGGGTGACTGATACAACAGATGGCTGTGGTGCTATTGAGAGGGACCTCAGCAGGYTGGASAAATGGGCRGATGAGAATCCCATGAAGTTCAACAAAAGGGAATGAAAAATCCTAAATTTGGGGAGGAATAACTCTACACTGGCACAGCCAGTAAGATATGGGGAGGAATAACTCTACACTGGCACAGCCAGTAAGATTTGGGGAGAAATAACTCTACACTGGCACAGCCAGGGGGCCAACTGGCTGGAAAGCAGAAGGACCTCGGGGTCCCAAGGTCCTGACAGGCAAGGAATTGAATATAGCCTTCGATGCACTTTTGTGGATTGGATGACCAAAGGYCTTATGGGCTGTATCAGGAACAGTGCTGCCAGAATGCCAAGGGAGGTGATCCTTTCCCYGTGTTAAGCACTGAGGATACATCTGGAGCACTGTTATGAATTCTTATGTTGATTCTGGACTCCAGCATAAGGACATGGACCGATAAAGTGAATCCACAAAAAAAGACACAAAGATGAAGAACTTAGAGCACTTGTCATAGGAGGAGAGTTTGAGAGAGCTGGAATTGCTGAGCTTGGGGAGCAGAAGGCTCAGGAGGAATCTTATCAATGTGTATAAATATGCGRTTAGGAGAAGTGGGGAGGAAATAAAAAAGACAGCACCGGACTTTTCTCAGTGATGCCCAGTGAAAGGACAAGAAGTAAAGGGCACAACTTAGAAGAGGAAATTCCATTTAAATATACAAAACCTCTTCACACTGTGCACATGGTCAAATAAATGTGTTGCCCAGCAAGGTCATGAATCTCCATCCTTGGAGATTAAAAATTCCTACCGGACAACATCCTGAGTAACCTGCTCTAGCTGACTCTGCTTTGGGGAGAACGGCTGACTACATGATTTGTAAAAATGCCCACCAACTTCAATCATTTGGTATCACTTGCAATATTCAGCTTACTAGATTATCAGCATGGTTAGCATACCAAGCTCTCTCTCAGGCTCTCCTCTGCCCTTTGCTCATGCTCAAAAAAACCAAACAAATTTCTAGGGATGTTCATGTCTAGTACTTAGCTAACAGACCCCTTCTTCACAGAGTATCTTCAGGCTGCTACCATACACTTAAACAYACATCTAGGACAATCATGTTCTTTTAATTAAAACAGTGATTTCATTTCTTCTCTTTGATTAAAGACAAGCACATTGGAAACTTTCTCTGGTACCACTAGTAAATAAACAGATTATAGGCGGCACAAAAATTTCCCTTAAGATAGGAGCTATCAGAAGTTCTTGGACAAAACCTTTTATTGTTTTTTTTAAAAAGGGGAGGAAAAGAAGCAAGCTTATCAATAACAACCGGCAACTGCTTCACATCCTGAAGTGGCTAGGCTAGCATTCTTTGAAAAAATTCCAACAAAGAACTTAGAACAAGCTAAGTGACTCATCCATCAAATTCACCTATCTGAGAGTTGTGTAAAGAAGTACAAACCCTTTAGGCTAACGCACCACTCTAAGTAATATCAAAGGTCATACATACAGTTACTGAAAAAAAGGGCAAGAACTAATTTATAGTAAGTTGTTTTTAGGAATCTAAAAACCGGATCCTGAGATTTTGCCYACACAACTGTGCGGTTCTTCCTTTTCTAAAAAGGAGGAACCTCTCCCCGCAAGATAAAAAACCCAAATCACTTCTCTGTAACTCGTATGCAAATAACAAGACGATGAGAGATCTTGTCCRCTTTCAGATTCTAATAAATACACTTTTCCCTTCTCTCACCTATATTTTTCTTGGCACACTTCTCCCTTTCCAACATTTTCTTTCTCCTGTAAGTTCCTGCAGACTAAGCCAATGCATGCATACATTTGATAAGATCTCACAATAACATCACAAAGAGTTAAAATAATGCTGACATAAGCAACTGTCCTGAAAGCAAATATCCGATTACTGACATAAAAGGATGTATGCTCTATTGTAAGAAAAAACTWCTAAGCAGATCTCAGCAATGTACAAATGACCTCAACTAAACATGAATTGAAGATTGACAATAATGAAAAAAAGGGAAAAATAAAGAAAGTAATGAATAGCTCTCTCATTTGTTTCTATGCCAGATACAAACAAATTATTAAAACAGTGAACTGCAAAACCAATAAGGAAATTACCTAGACCTCTGTTTCTTAAATTACAAAACTTTGCAAGTTTTGTAACAACCCTGTCTAAAACATCTTCTGTTACACTGCATATTTTTGAATAAGCTGCAAATCCTTCATCCCAGCCAGCACTTGACTGTCTGATAGTGTCTTCTGAAGAAGTTATTACACTTAATAGATTTATGCATTAGTTTTGCATCATTCCTGCCCTYTCTAATTCATAAGGGATGTGAGAACAGGATAGGAAAAATCCTCCAGCCTGTCTTCTGCACTCCAGCCACTGAAGATRCAGATACTCAGTCACAGCGTCTTCGTCAGCATAACTTCTAATAACGGTCCTTTTATCAAAAATCAAACTGGAAGTAAAACTTGGATTTTGAATTTAAAACTTCTTTGCAAAGTATTTAAATCTTTCATAGGAAATCCCCACCTGGGACATTTTCATCTCTTACAGTAAATTCTTCAAACATGGAAATGCTAAGATTAGACATAAATCAAATGTTACCTATGATGTTTTGATCTGGATTTGTTATGATGCCTTGCTGTTTCTGTGGTCATTAGGATCACTTTACATAAATTCCTTAGTAGCAGTGAAGGAAGAGTTATACCTATGAGCTTGTCATAATCCACGCCTTTAGCATTTGATGTCTGCACATTCCAGGGATCAACTAAATCCTCATCCTCTTCTTTAGTTGTGCCATTGTTTATTAATACAAGGTCTTTTGGAGGCAAGCCTGCCTGATAATCTTGTCCTGTTGCTGTTTTATATGACAGTTTTAATGATAAAAGCATCCTCACTGCTGCATCGATTTCATCCTGAATGAAGGAAAAAGCACAAACTGTTTCACTTAACATACTTAAAATAGACAATTACATTAATGTCCTAAAATCCCACATCCATGCTTTGACCTGAATTGCATTATTCATAATCTCTAAACTCCATTTTATTTAAATGTTTTCAGCATTAATGTCAAATGTTAAAGTAAAGCAAATACTTAACCATTAGAATATAAATCATCCTCATTGCCAAGATATTTAAAGCACCTCTGYCTGTCTTGCTTTTAAATTTCTGCATAGGAAAAAAACGCTTGCTTGCTTTTCAGAGGTATAACAAGCTTAGCACTTTTACCATAAATTCCTAAGGTATATAAATAAAACATAAATCAGTAYCTAATTTACTTTACAATGCTTTTAGTGGCTCACCTTAAAATAATTTATTCATTACAATTCATTGACAGACTTGAAGGCAAACCAGAACACAAAGTTACGGTTATGACCTCTCYAATATAAAGCTATTGTAAAATCTCATGCAAGCAATAAATAGAACAACACTTTATTCAATTCCCCATTTTCAAGGCTTACTCCCACAGGCAATACATTAAGGGAGCCCATATTAAAACAGCTCTCCTTGCCAACATAGTGATGACAGAAAAGGGAACCTGAAATAAATGGAAATTACTAAATTATTTAAGGGAGATTAAGCCGAGATTGTCAGTACAGTTACAGGAAGACACATTTGCTAATGTCTACCATAATATCCAGAGAAAAAGGTTTTCATGGGCCATCTAAAAGGAGAGAAGAATGCAAGTGACATAAATTTACTTGGGAAACAAATACATTGGATCTTGTCACATAGCATAGCAACTGGATGATGCAGACTTCTAAGCCTATGACTCTGTTCTTATCTCAAGAGTAAAAACTTCCATCTTGTTAGTGACTACCTTGCTCCAGGTATGCCACCATTCACAAAATGCACATAAATAGTTTTTAACAAGAGTTTTTCTCATCATAATGCAACACAGATCTTAAAACAATAAAATTCTTYAGCACCTAAATTGAAAAATTATGTGCTCAAAACATGACATGCAAATACCTTTGGTGCTTTTCCTGCTTTCAGTGCTCTGACTTTCTCCCCCTGTTCRGTTACTCTTTCAAAAAGCTGAAGAGGACTCAGAGACTTCAAATCACAGTTTGGGCTGTCAGCCATTTTGCCAGACTGCACAAAGATCTGTTTATGTACTACTCAACTGAATTTATCCTTTTCCAACTCTTTGGCTTGGAGATTCAAAACAGCAGCAACGAAGAGAACTGTAGAACAAAAAGTAGTATGTTGTAATCTTTCATTTAAGTCTTCAAGATTAGGTGAACAGAATAAGAAAACAAAAACTRTACTGACCCCTACCACATTCTCTTCATTTCAGACTAATGTATGTGGAGACATTACAGAGTGAGCTTGTTTCACACAGAAATGGACAGACTGACAACAGTACCAAGTAAATTTAGATATCACTGTTCATGTTGTCTAATGTATTTAACACTAGAAYACCTTTCCAAAGTCAAATTCTTGGCAAAAGTCATTAAACGTATGATTCAGAGCATCTCAGAACAACTGGTAGAGGCTACCCAATTCCTGATTAGTTCATGTTCTTACACTGATATATCCTGTCAAATTCTGGATAATGTGACTTCTAACTATGATACAGAATTTTGTCTTACTATATGTACTAAAGCACTTTGCCCAAAAGAAAGATACACAAGAGCACAGCTTAGTCATCTTCTTTATGGCTTTCCTCCAGAGGTTATGAAACTGACAATTAGTGAGAAATGCTGCTTTCTAAAGAACCTTTGGGTCAGCAATAGGCTGTAAACTTGCCTGCACTTCTCAGAACTATGCAGGAAAAAGAACAGGASATGGCTTAAGAGGAGGAGATGGCTGAGACTAATAACACAGCAGTCTTCCTAAGCACTCTCTGTCATGCCATGCCCATGTCCACCAGGTGGGAARCTCTGTGCCCATGTAAAGAACTACTGACTTGCAAAAGATTGTATCTCTTTGGAGCGACTCCTGAGCAAATTACTGATCCACTGCTGTGCAAGGAGCATAACAGATTAAGCATTAGTGAAAGTACACGGTTCACTTGAATCCCTTTTCCCAGAATTAAAACAAAGAAACAGTCAAAAGACCCAAAAAATCAAAAACCCGGGAAGCATATAATAGCTTTAGCTGCACAGAGTAYTTCAAAGCCTTCCTTCTACAAAACAATCAGCCTAATCATAACCTTGGTTATGTTTATATAGTATTTGTTTAAACTGCCACTGTAAAAAGCTTTCACCCATCTAAYAAACTTTGAAGGTCAATTTGGTAAGTTGGTGGTTACCAAAACACACCTATCATTAAGGCTTTGTTTGTCAGTCAGCTGCAATATTCCCATATTACCCAGAGAAAACTGAGAAGTTTATACATCCACCTGCTAATGCAATTTATTTACTCGATTAACTCTGATACCATATTTAGATTACATATTAATAATTAAGTTTTAAACTAATTTTGATCCCTTTAAATTTGACTTTTTGCAGTTTGACAGTGTGATTAAGAAAAAAGTAATTTGAAGCAGATTAAACAATTCTTTGATGCATTCCTACAATTTAATTATATTTTTATTTGGATATTAGTGTTTTCCTCCATTTTCATGGGCTCAAGATATTTAAGTGGAAAAGAAAGCATCGAATAAATGCATATTGGAAAACGTTTATGAATTTTCTGTAAGAAAAATTACACACCCTTTCTGTAAGAACATGACATTTATATGGCTTCAAGTCTTACAAAATAGAAAAGACATAAACAGAAATTTTCTTTGGTGTAGATCCAAATATGACAGTGACTTGGTGTTTTAATTTAATTCCTGMAAGTACATTCTTACTGATAGATTACTTCCATTCAGAAAGGCTGAAATGACAGCTGACACTGGGCACATATACTGGACAGCAGTAAATCAGACAGACTCTGCAAAATGCTTGGGATAGTAYGGATTTAAGCTGAAAAAAGAATGTCAAATGAAGGTGCATTTTCATTAAGAAGCAGCAAAAGCAATCTAGGTGGTGTGACAAGACATGAGGATATTATGACTATAAAAAGCAAAACATACTGGTTGCTACCTAAAGTTTCTCTCTATTTACCTCAGTACTGCCCCTATTTGCTAGTGGAATTCAAGCCAGGAATTCAGTAATGTGGAACACAGGTATTTACCTTTTGAAAWTCATTAGTGTCATTGTGAACCATTTAAAGGAAATGTCTGGATATTCTGCTATTTATCAGGATTTTTTTTTTCTTGCTTTCTTAATGATATTATAAAAACAAACAGTCCCAGACAGATTACATACCACAGGAAAACAGATCTGAAGGAAAAAAAAAATGATGAATGGGAATGGAGAATGAACTATTAGGATATTTAGGACCAGYGTGAACTTGAAAGCCAAGATGTGTGTGCTTTCTCTACCTATGAAATGCAGGTAACGTGTAATGGGTACTGCTCCTGGGTCCATTTCAAAATATTAAATTGCTATGAGACAAAGCTCAAAAATAATTTTTGGCAAAGGTATCAGAAAACTACTGCATCTTCCTCYCTTTCCAACAGGGTGATCACACAGACTTATGATCATTTTCACTGTCTGCAGTCTGACTTGATAAGTTAGAGAATTAAAACACAGGGTTTCACTTTAAGTTAAGAAGACAAACATTGAATGAAAGTACATTACGATTTCCAGAGACAACAGTAATACAACAGTCACAGCTTTCATGAATAAATGAAAGAATGTGAGACTAAGTCTAACAGCACTTACATTCCYGAAAACGGTTTTCCTCCTGTAAACAAAACAAAACAAAAAAGAAAAGTGAAATTAAAGTGGGGAGCATCCACACTGATGTCATGTGAAACAGGCCTTGAGAGACAGTCCAACACAAGKCTGCACTTCATAGTAGACCTACCTTCTCAGTGATGGCAAACATCAATTTATGCACAAAATTACAATAAAAGTGTGCAAGACGATTCTCCAAGATGACAGATAACGTGACCTTTCACAGMCTGAGGTGTTACCAGAAGAAAGATCACTATGAATCTTTACTGTACTGCAGCTTCATAAGAGCAAAGCTCCTCTAGAGGAACGCCTGTGCACAAAATTACTCGACGCCAATGTCCCCTAATCCTGGCGTCCTGCGGCATTCCCAGCCACACCCTGYCCGGGCACAGCAAAGCCACTCGCCAGCTCTGCCCTTTCTGCGATGGGATGCATTTTGCAGTGACCTGGACACCCAGCCCTGCCCTTCCCAGAAAAAGGGCATTTTCACCTGACTCTGTGGCGAGGTAGCCCAGCAGGGAATAGAGGAAAAGCCCTCAAGTGCATCGACGCATCTCAAGGGGAAGGAGAAAACGTGCCCAGCAGAGACCCCACAGCCAGCGCCTCGCACCGCTCAGAGGCGGCAGAGAGCGCTCATCCAGCCCCTCTCCCGCCCCTCGGGGTTTCTCTCCGAGGGCCCGTCCCGTCCCCATTGCCGTCCCCGTCCCCGTTCCCGTCCCCATTGCCGTCCCCATTGCCGTCCCCGTTCCCGTCCCCGTTCCCGTTCCCGTCCCCGTCCCCCGTCCCCGTCCCCGTCCCCGTTCCCGTTCCCGTTCCCGTCCCGTCCCCGTTCCCGTCCCCGTTTTCGTCCCCGTCCCCGTCCCGCCGCTCCTCACCCACCGCACCTCTGTCACCACCATTGCATCACCCCCAGCGGCACGGCCGGCGCGGCTCCCGGCTGGGAAACACAAAGCCCCGGAACCATTGACTCACACCCTCCTCCCTTCCTTTCCAGTCACCAGCCCAAAAAGCGCTCTCCAAACCGCTCGCAGCGGCGGCAGAGGAGCTTCTGCGCGCTCAAGGAGCCGCGGCCCGACCTCTGCCCTTCCCACCACGCGGTGTCGGCACGGGGGCTACGGCATGCGGAACTGCTTGAGTGGGGCGCCTTGTTTTCAGCCGGCGCATTTTTAGAAGCGGCACGGCCGGCGGCCGGCAGGTGAGTTCCGGGCGCGCTGCCGGGAGCGCAGGTACCGGGACTGCGGGAACGGGAACGGGAACGGGAACGGGAACGGGAATGGGAACGGGAATGGGAATGGGAGCGGGAACGGGAACGGGAACGGGAACGGGAATGGGAATGGGAACCGGAACGGTGCGGCTGTCCCAGCACCACGGGTGGTCTCGGCGTCCGGGGCTGTGGGGAGAGGCAGCGGCTCCGTGGGAGAAGGGAAGGAGCTGCTCTCAATTGTGTGGGCATTCCCAGGATTCGCTTCCTCGGGTGGGGCTATTCCAGGGGGACTGGAGAGGGTCGGGTGTTGTTGGAGATTATCCAGTCCAACCCTCTGCCAAGGCAGGGTCACCTAGAGCAGGTTACTCGGTAATGCTTTCGGGKGCGTTTTGAACGTCTCCAGGGAGGGAGACACCACGATCTCCTTGAGCAGCCTGTTCCAGTGCTTTGCCATTCTCCCCGGAGAGCAGTGCTTCCTCTGTTGAGGTGGAATTCCTTGGGTGTTAGTTTATGGCCGTTGCTGCTTGTCCTGTCGCTGGGCACCACTGAAAAGAGCCTGGTAGCATGCTCTTGGTGGCACCTACCTTTGAGATATTTCTATGAATTGATGAGACCCCCCCAGTTTTCTCCAGACTGAAAACAGTCTCTCTTCATAAAAGAAATGCCCCAGACCCCTCATCATCTCTGTGGCCGCCGCCAGACCCTGTCTAGTAGCTTGTTGTCTCTCCCTCGGGGCTGTGGGGCATTAGGAGCGAGGAACCCTCAGCGGGGTCGGCGGGAGGGTGGCACGGGCGTGAGCGACCTGCGGGGCTCTGCTTCCTTATCACACCTCTGCTGGCATCCGCGGGCACTGTGCCCGTCAAGCTGGACACTTCTTCGAGGCGTTTAGATAAATCCGCCATGTGGAAGCTGARGAAACACAAAATTCTACAAACTCCTCTTTCAATGCAGTGCGTTGCACATCTCATCGTTAATAAACTCGCAGCCTAGTTACAGGAGGTTTCCAATGAAGTACATTGTGGGTCCCCYTCATCCCCTCATTTTTATTTAGGGCAGTGTCTCTGGGTGGTGTTTCTTTAAAGACAAAAATGGATGGGAAGTCTTTAGGTGAGAAGGGTGCTTTGATTGGGGTGGGATGGATTTATGCTGACCAAATGAAMTGGGACAGTTTCTTTCCAGTATCTCATGGGAAACGTTTTTAACCTGGTGTTTGCAAGGCACTGTCTTCCTCTTCTGAATCTCAGCTTGGGKTTTTTTTTGTGTGTTAAAGCAAATCAAAGTAACTTTGTAAGTCTAACTCAATCCACTTGTGTATCTTAGTTTACAGCTTTTAGCCAGAGGTCAGTTTCTTACTATGTTTGTTATTTGGACATGATGCATTTGGCTGGGAAATGTGTTTAGCGCTGCAATACAAACAGTAACCACTTGATACAATTACTGAAGTGAAGCCTTTCAAAGCTCCTATTTATTTGATGTTTCAATTTACTGCTATGGAACCTCAATTTACTAGTTTTGAACTGATCCATTAGTTAAGTTTTCATGAAACACTACTCTTTTTTTTTCCTTGACACTGTTAAACTGAAATATTGTTGTAAAAAGTGAAGCTGTATTATTAAAAAAAAAGATWTTTTCCTTGCTCTTCTTTGCTGTCACTTATAGCTGTCTTAAAATTCAGATAATGACAAAATGTCCTCTAGAGGGAGATCTTGTTGCTTTTATGTGCTGAAATGTTGGTCACCTTGTTCCAGTTAAATGTCTTGATCGCTTATCTTGGAAAGGAGCTGTGATGATGACTGCGRGTATCTTACTAAGTACCTGTCCTCTGGATCTGTATTTGGAAATTTGGTAACAGAATATAGTCATGTAATGCTTCTGTAGGTTWAGTGAAATATAGTTGTTTTAATTAAAATCTAATTTATGAAGTTAAATGAATAATCTTTCCAAGTTCCAGAGTCCTACTCCTGCAGGAGTATTTGTAGAACCTACATTTGTGGTGTCACTCCTACAAATGCTTATGAAGGTATTGGCTTTCATGCAGCATTCCCTATTTTCATCAAGAAGCTTTTGAGGGCAGTTTCTTTGCTGACCTGAACCAAGAATTTCAGCAGCTGGTCTGAAAGTATTGTGAGTTACATCTCTTTAGAATAATGAGTGCTAACTGCTTGGCAAGGAAACAAAACAGTAATAAAATGTCACATTTAATCAATCGTACCAATGCTTCTTGCCTATAAACCGCAGAGGTTGAAATATTAATTTGCAGACACATCAATTGTTTGAATGTAGTTGACTCTACACTCCACATACTGCATAGAAGTTGTTGGAAAAATCTTGGGATTACGATGAGGATGAATTATTCCACATGTTACCTATGCAGTCTTGGCATGGGTTTCTTTTCTGGCAGACACAATGAAAATAGTTACTCCACAGCTGAGGCATCTGTGCTCTTATTTTTCTGCAAATAAATGCAAATAGTGAATTCAGTGTAGCTTCTGGCATGTCTGTTCAGTAAAWCTAAAGGGTGTGTGGAACTTGCTCTGTGGATGTAGCTGGAAAATTTCCTCACACTGCAAGGCTGCTGAAGGGGTCAAAAATGTGTTTATGTTTTTAGCTGCCAGTTGAACCCCTACATAYTTCTTTCAAGTCATCTGTACTGTTAAGAAATAGCTATTGTTAGACTGACTCCAAAAGAGTCACAGTATTTGTATTCTTATAAATGTATGTACAACACCACTACATAATTAATTGATTTCTTCTGTGTGTGTGTGTGGAGAAGTAATGCTGGAAGTAAGGTAATTTGCTGTATTTATATTGCAAGGTTGTTTTCCTTTTCATCCTCATTTTCATTGTTTTGTGGTATGCAAATACACCTCTCCAGTGCATTAAAAATGTATGCAAAGGGTTTGGAGGCAAATCTTGTTGTTTAATAGAATGTACAGATGTGTTATAATAGAGGAATAAATTCCATTAATGAACAAAAATAAGAGTTTTGACTACTTTTTTTTTTTTGTTAAGAAAGGCATATTTATATCCCTAAGTTACTCGGATTGTAGACTCTAATTATTTGTGCTCTGAATAATCAATTCTTTATTTTAGATCATAATTTTGGAGGATTGCAGCACTGAGATCTCTGGAGTCTGCTGTGTCTAGCCATAATGAGTTTGGTTGCTTATGAAGATTCAGACTCTGAGGCAGAAACTGCAAATACTGAAGACTCCGATRCTTCTGGCAGACAAACAAACCAGCTGAGTTCTTCTGTGAGTTGCGTTCAGCACTTTGCACCTGGTAGTACAAAATCTGCATATGAAATACACCCTGCTGGGAGCACCGGCAGTTCTGGCAGGAGCACAGTTTGTGAAGATCCCCCTGCTCATTATGCACTGAATAACAGCACTGACTTGGCACCTCCTTCTTGTCAGAGGGTGTACTCTGGCCATGCTGCATTATCTGTGGCTTACAAAAACTATGAACAGGCTTCAAGCTCTTCCACAAATTCTGGAAATGGCATTTCCCAGAAGAGRGCACATAAAGACAGTACTACTGCCATAAAAGGAATTAGACCATATATCCCTAAACGATTGCGTCAAGAAAATTCCAGTAAGCCTGAAAAAGAAGAATCTGGCCAGAGAGGTAGCTCAGACTGTGATGYTAAGTTAGGTGTATTAGGAGAGCAAACTTCAAGAAAGATCTCTGAATTAATTAAGCCATATTTGGGATCTAAATATAAAGTAACTGAAGTTCCCAAAAGCTTGATATTTTACATGTCTAAACACAGCRGCCCTGTTAATGAAATCCAGTGGTGTCCTGTACAGGAACAAAGTCACTTGCTTCTCTCTGCTTCTATGGACAAAACAGTCAAGGTAATGTAAAGCAAGATGCTTTGTGGCTCAAACATCAGACCTAAAAAGAATGTATTAAACAATGCTTTTCTGGAAATTACATCCTTGCTTGTGTGTATTTGATAGTTCCAGTGTACTCAGAATTTGAGGAGATGCTTTGAAGTTTAAGATTATGATGACCTTGCAGTCTAATGCTTCACTATACCCACAGTTCCATTAGTTGGGGATTTTTTTGTTTTTAAATCATGTTAGCGTTTTAGACCTTAAGAAGTTAGTYTTCTGCTAGGTAATTTCTCATCATCTATCTCAGTGTTTTATCACAGTGGCCATGAGCACTATGGTCTGCATACAGATTCTGCCTTAAGTCATTAATCAACTGACTGCCAACACTGGAATAATATTTTGAGGAGCTTTACCTTTCTGACAGGCCTGTGTGACTTCTGCTGGAAGAGGAGGTAGGTCAGGTCCATCTGAACTAGTGAGGTAAGTCTTGAATTCCAGAAAGGTGTCTTGACTAAGGAGTCTTTCCACTTTAATTTGTTTAAAGGGTTAATTGCTCAACACTCAAAACAAATTTTCCTCTTGGCTTCAATGAATTTCTCTAAATTTCTTTGGTAATTTAGTCAGTCCAATGAGTCTTCCATTTTTAAAAGGGGTAATAAAAATACTTACTGTGTGTGCTTTACCAGATACAGGGCTGATTGTGCCTCTAGGTTCAAATAATAGTCTTTTGAAGGGGCTTGCACAGGAACATAGCTTTGATGAGAATGCACAGAAAGCATCCTTTCTGGTGGAAGACATGCTTTATTGCATTTAACATGTATTTACCATGGCAGGCACATGGCACSTCTGACTTCAGGATGTCTGAATTTGACCTTTTGTTTTAAATTGTCATATCATATGCTTAATGTTTGTTTGCTATGCCAGAGCCTCTTCTTACTGATGAGTGAAGTTATGGATGTGTTGAATTTGATAGAAGAATCTAAAATATTTTGTTGCTGTAACATAAAAATACTAAAAAGTTGAAATAATGGCCTGTCTGCTTTGCCTTCTAAGCAGAAATGAAAAATACTTTTCTGAATTAGTGTTACCACGCCTGCTTGGAAGCAGTTATTAACAGTAAAGATGGWTTTTGAGGAAATCTGACTGCTTTAGGTGCCCCAAACTTTGGAAATTCAATACGAATGAAGTATATTAATTTTGGCAACACTTCAGAACATGCGAGTCTAAAAAATTAATAAAGTAATAAGGCAACAGTTAGGAAGGATCTGAAACCACACTTTATCTTCTGGAAGGCACCCCCTAGGGAGACAGCAACCTATGGATGCTTCCTGTTCTTTCTTAGGGAAGCTCCTCATTGTCGCGCCTTACACGCGGGCCGTCCTGGGCAGCAGAGGGCGCGGTGACACCGACAATTCACTTGGTGCTGGGTTCCCAAATTGCCTCCCTTTCTGAGAGCGCATAAATTACGAGCGCATAAATCCCTGGTGACTGGGGCAGCACTGCTTTGCCTTCTGGGAATTTTTTTGGGTTTTTTTTTTGCTGTTTACCCTTGCATGAAGTTGTCCGTTTTCTGGTATAAGCTTAAAACAACTGATTGAAAATACAGATCCACTATTTTATTTCCTCATCCTTTTAATGTCACACAGCTTATTTTTTTTTTTTTTTTTTCCAAAATCACCTGTTTGGAATTACTCATTTAAATCCAGGCGATGAATGTGTGTCCTCTTTCCCTCTAATGGGAATGTGCAGACGCTCAGGATGTTTGCATGATTTACTTTCAACATCTGATTTGGGTTGCACAGTTAGAAGCCTAAAATCTCTGTGTGATCAGAGAGAAGAGGTAATCCAGAGCTTCAAAACTCTGTACTTTCAGTTAGTCACAGGAATAACTGTGAATATTTTCGAGCATAAAYGTCTTGGATTCAGTTCTGATGCTAAGCCTTTGCATTAAGACATTCATCTTTTGAAGAGCCCAATATTAGTGGGGATTTCTCAGAATTGAGTGTTCTAAGTTGAGATAACTGTGGTAGTTTAAGTTGTGCTTAAACCAGAGATCCCCAGTTGTACACTATTTGTGTAGTATTTAGCCAGTTTTGTATATTTTATCTGTTCTTATGTGCTTAATAATTTTCTCCTTCATCACAAGCTAAGAATTTTACTTTGTGGGAAAGAAATTTAGTTTTTTTTTTCCTTTGCATGGAGGAGGAAGAAACATTGGCTAAGTTACCTTACTTTAGCAATTATAATATTTTTATTCGTATCTAAACTACTACGACTAAATCGTTCATGTCACACAGCTACATGTCTAAAATGCATATATGGAACTGATTATGTGTTTTTTTACTTTTTAAGTGTGTGTATTTATCCAGTTTGGATCAGGAGAAAAAAAACAGTCTTCCATTTCTGTTCTCTCAGTTAAAAAGTACACTTTARCATTGTTATGAATCAGTGTCATACTAAAATATTTAAAAAAAATAAGTTGATGTCTTCAGTTTCTGTTGACTGAAGAATAGCCTAGAGTTGGAAGATCATCAGAAGCATTTTGTAAAAATATATTGCATACTTACGAATGAATGAACTGTGTTAGAGCATTTTACAGTTCTCTTTAAAAGTATTTGATCTGATTTTTTTTTTTGTGTGTCCTGCATCTAAAACACCTCAAAYACTTATCAAGTGATAAAGTTGGAAAAAGTAGTTACCAGCTCAGAGGTAGAATTCTCCAGATTAACACTCCTACCAGCAGATGGGGCRCCTCAGCATGTTAGGAAGGGATGGGAACTAAACTGTGCCTCTGAAGACTCAGTATTTTCCTCTGTGTTGTGTGTTCAAAGACCAAAGTTACAAATTCATGCATGTGTTGCTAAAAGTATAAGACAATCCTTGAGTTTTCTTAGAGACCTGAAAATAAGATAGAACTTCATGTGGGAAGCGACACGCGTTGCAGATTAATCACCCACAGTTCTTCAAATCTGGAGCATCAACAGAAGAATATTTAATGCTAAATTTTAAATTTTTAGGAAATGGGTAAGGTACCCAAACCTAGTTTTGTCCTTTGCCAAAATTTTTACCATGTGTTTTCCTAGAATTTTTAGCTTTCCCTTGGAAGCTCCAGCCTAGATAGCTGGAGAAGGGGACAGRAAACCTGTTTCAGGGTAGGGAAAAGTGCTGTTCAGTTACTGTGGCAGTGCTGCTCTTCACAGTTACATTTGAGCTGTATTGTGAGTGGCTTATGTTTTTAGCTTAGGTATGTRTTTTAAGGATTGTGAAGCATTGTTGTCTGAACTGATTAAATTTGTTTTCTTTGAATAGCACTTCTGTACCTTCTGTTTGAATAGCTGCTGTAAATGAATTTTAGGCATCTACTGCCATTTTAGTGTTTTCCTACTTAAACACAAAAATAGTGTTCATGATTTTATTACCTCATCTAGTGGGTTTTTTTTTTGCATAACTTTTGAGACTCATTGCTGCTATAATGTTGATATCAAATGCTTTCTGAACAACAGACATTGTTTAGGTAATTCTTGTTTAGAACCCCAAATACAGAATCCAGAATCACAAGTTACCATTGAATACAGCTTTTTGCCTTCAGTAGCAGAGAATATTAAAAATTTTTATCTCTGAAAACATTTATCAATGGCAGACAATGCTGCATTCACATTGTCAGTATCTTTTATTTGGAAGATCCTGTCATTACACAGAGCCACATAGATGTTAACATTTTCACTCGTTACTGGTGCTGGACTTACCTTTTTAACAATTGTTCATAACKTCAGCATCCTATGCCTTTATTCTGTATTTCTGGGTTGTCTTAAAATTAACTCAAGGTATCGTCTTTATATAATGATCTGTTAGCTGTTAATTTTGTGTTTCTCATATTTTATTTAGAGCATCACAGCAGGTGTTATGTTTGTTGCAGAAGATTTCCTAATTTTCAGCATTTTTAGTCTCCATTGTTGAACAAGATCAAGGAAAGAAAGTGCTGCGATTCTTGAGTATGCAAAATGTGTATTAATAGCACTTTGTGTTCTAATACATTTTTGGAAACTTTTCTTATCTATTTTGTTCCCTACTGGCCTAGTTGAATGGTATTTAGTAAMAGCTCCATACAAGTAAAGTAAAAGTCTTTACAAGTTTAATAATGTCAGCCTCTTGAACAGGGGCATTTCTCACTTCCCATGATTAAGTGCATAGCAATCAGACTGGTTCAGACCAGGGCTCTGTCTAGCCCACAGGTCAGTGTCTAGTAGGGTCCATGAGTAGATGTGTTAAGAAGAACAAATCAAAGGTTTGTGGTGCCTTTAGGTCCTCTTCTGGTCTGTGCTTGTTTTCAAGTTGGGATTTCTGAGCTCCAAAGCAGTTCATCTTTGTAACTTGCTACCTCAAGATATTTGTTCCAGATACTTCTCCAGTCTTCTGAGACTCTTATGATCATCAGATAGAGTGGTGTGTTTCACATACTCATTAAATTTCATGTATGGATTTTGGTTCCTGGAGTGTGTCATATGCTACAAGAAATACAGTTTTCAATCATACTTTCAAAATACTATTTTGTGGTTTTGTGTCTGTTAGGAGAAACACAGCACAGCAGTATATTCCAGGAATTTTCTTATTCTTGATCCTGTTGAATTGGACTGAATGATAGAAGGTGATGCCTTCAAGCCATAAACTGTGTGTAGCACAGACAGTGGCAACACAGATTTTCTAGATATTGGCCATTACCCTGCCTCAGAGTAACAAAATCTAATATTTCTGKTTTTGACCCTTCACTACACAATTCACTTGGAATAGCCAGCGTTTCTTGTTGTTCTGTCACAGGCATGTCTGTTTATTAAGCAATGGGTTTAAGCTGCCAGCATATTTCCTATACACTGAGGCATAGCTGTCAGATGGCTGCAGCCCTGTCAGTGCTAGGCTGGATTCAAACTGTTCACTAAGCAGAATTAACTGTCATGCTGCTAGTACCTCAGATAGGGCAACTCTTAGATTGATTTTTAAAATTGAATCAAGGCAACATTCCA